GTGACACTGCACCACGTTACCCAGGCTGGACTGACACTCAGGTGACACTGCATCATGTTACTCAGGCTGGCCAGCCAACATCTCCACAGTCCACCTCTCAGGTAAGACCAGAGCCCGAAGACTCCTCTAGGATGATTTCAACATTTGCAAATCTTGAGATACAGTTTGTGACATTTTAGAATTCATTTCCATGTAATCATGACTCTAGTTAAAATATTATTTAAATGAGTTTGATCCATTACATTTTCTCTCAGGCACTGTGCTTACTGAGTGATGAACAGAGGTACTTACCCTGACATGGCCCTCATAGGCCGTCCCTACTCCCTTCTGGGGGTCTATACCAAGTGGACCTTTAGTTTGCTCAGGAGGAACCGGGCAAGCCGTCGGAGCTTTGTTCACACAAGTTATATGACATGAGAACCCACAGACTTTTCGAGGGAAAAAAAGGACACAAATTAGATAAAATTTCATTTTAACAACAGAAACATTTGCTGGCACTAAGTGCATGCATGGTGCTGTTAGACAAACGCTTTTTTTCTATTTTATTTTAAATAACCATCTTTCACTAGAGAAAACAAATTCAGTTGCTTGCCATTCAGAAGTTCATTGAGTAGTAAGTATTTTTATTATTTATATTATCATTCTCTTTAATATTAGTGATCAAAGTGAGAGCCAAATAGATAAAAACCAAACAACTCCAACCTTGTGAATACCATGGCTGACTTAATGCAGGATTCCCACAGAAGAGCTCCCTGGAGGTTTTTTCTAGCTCTTTACTCTACTGCAATCAGTCCTGAAACCCCTTGCAAGAGTTACTAACAGACATTCAGCTACTCAACGCTCTATCAGCATGTGGTGTGCATGCATGCATGTGTATGGTATGTGTTTGCATGTTCACAGTATGTGATAATGTGGAATCCAAGGCTGATGTCAGGCATCTTCCTCCATCTGCCACTCTCCACTTGATTTTGAGGCCCAGTCTCTCATCAAACCTGGAGCTCAACAGTTCCAGCATCCCAGTACCCTCAAGGCTCTTCTATTTCTACCTCCTGAGAGTTGGGACCACAGCCAGTCACTGGCTTTTACACGTGTGCTGGAGACCCAGACTTTGGTCCTTCTGTTTCTGTGGTAAGCACTCATTCACTAAGCCATTCCCCCAGCCCTGTGTCCGGCATCTTTTTACCAATCATCTGAAACCATGTGTTTCAGTGGCTAAAAGGTCTATACAGAAGGGAGCATTTGGAGTTGTAGTCTAATGCTTTCACTATAGGTAGAATAAGAGTCAATTCCACTGAGTGTTTCCTACCACCTCTGTTACACACTTCTTGCTCAGAGTCACAGTGTGGCAGCAGTGATGGAAGTCAACCCCATGTCTGCTTAGAGCCCATGTGCCCTGTTAGTGACAGTACCATCATAAACCAAGAGCTGTCTTTTCCTGGCTGCTGTTCTTACCTTCACAGGAACAGCCCTGTCTTATCAAACCAACCATCAAGGAGGTACATTGATGGCACTTGGTAGGGGCAGTGAAAGACTTCACGAAAAACTGATGAGTCTTGCGCTGCAAAACACATGACAGGAGAGTCAGCTCTTCTGTTCTTATTGCATGCCCATGTGGAGCTAAGGGTCCTCACACTCCAGAGACAACCTCACGTGCACTGCACACGCTCCAGAGACAACCTCACGCACACTGCACACACTCGAGACAACCTCACGCGCACTGCACACACTCCAGAGACAACCTCATGTGTACTGCGCGTTGGACTGTACTTTCAGCTTCAAGTTCACTTTTATTTTATGAGTTTTTCTTGAGTATAAGTGTGTGTTTCTGGCTGCATTCGACTTGTCAGGGACTCATTTCTGCCAATCTTTGCTAGCCATCTACTTGAGGCTTTCTACATCCTCCTTGGTTACTGACAGAAATGAGAAACTTTCATCTTGCATCTCTTAGCCCTTGTCTGATCTAGAATGTAGGGATTTAGCTTGTGTTTCTGAAGTATTTTAGTTTCCGTTTTCTCCTGAATTCTTTATCATTTCAAATCTTCCTTTCAATCACATCCTTAGAAACACTTTCTATTATGGGGAGAGGTAGCGCAGGTGCCGCAGGACTCATGTGGACAGCAGGGACAGCTCTCTTCTGGCATCTTGCTGAGGCAGCATCTTGGTGTCTCTGTTGTTGCCCTATGTACTCCAGGCCAGGTGACCCGAGCCTCCAGAGTCTCTGCCTCCCCCTGCCCTGGAGTGCTAAGACCACAGACACGCACCGCTGCCTCTGGCCTTTCACTCTGGGGAAGAGTGCAGGTAGGCAGGCTCCACAGTGAACACCTCAATGGAGGAGCTACAGCTACAGCTACAGCCTACATTTCATTTCTGAGTTTTCCTGTCACCAACTGGTTGTTACTCCTATCATCTAAATAAGCATATTTTTTTGAGAAACATTTAAACGTTTTGAGCATGTTTTAAGTGTTTTCTTTTATCTTTTACTCAAGGTTTTCATCTCTAATTTGAAGATATTTCAGGCCATCATTTCTTTTTAAAGAGAATTTGTTTTTATTGAGTTTGTGTGTAGCTGCATATGTCAAGCGTCCTGGAAATCAGAAGAGGGATCAGAACTCTGGAGATGAAGTTACAGGCAGTTGTGAGCTGCCTGAAACGGACACGGAGAACAGCAGTGCTCTTATCCTCAGAGCCATGATTCTAGACCCTTCCTATTTCTTTAGTTCCACCCCTTTCCTACTGAAGGTCCTACTACATTAGGGAGATGCTGACAGTATCTCTTCAGATCCTCACCTCACTGCTGACTGACGTACTGTCCTACTCTGTTCTCCTTACTCTATTATTAATGCCTTTTATGGACTTCAGTAGTTATGTCCTATGTCCTACTACTAGATTACTTTTCTTATTACTGCTTTATCTATCCTGTCTGACACTACCTGTTTATTATATGTGACATAATAAACATTATGTTTATTTTAACTTCATACTCTGTCTGGTCTCATGTAATGGCACATAGTGATTCTTTTGTTTTGCACATGTTCTTTCATGCTTTTTAAAATTATTTTTCAGAGCCTCTGACCTCTCTCATTTGTGATTATTCAGTTTATGTTCTTCCAGTTTCTAGAATGTCTCCGCATGCCTTCGACAAGGAGCTCGGTCTTCATGCCTTGTCATGTAGGATGACCCGTCACGGAGGGTCTGCCTGTACTGCTTACTAAACATTTCTCTTTCTTAGTGTTTGATTAAACTTGGATTCATCTTCTCTAATAAGGGACTTCAATGCTTTTTTATTAGGTAACAAAATGAGGGGTTCCTGGAAGGTTCCTCTAATTGGCTTTAAAACAGAATTTAAGAATTAAATACTGAATATGCCTCCCAACACTCAGAATGCTATTTATATTCATTATAGAATTTGTTTTCTTCCCAAATTTTAAATTTTATAACTTTGAGGAAATCAACAAAACTCACAGTGAATATCCAAAGTAGAAGCAATTCACTCTCATGTTTTGGAACTAAGTACCTTAGGTGGAAAACCAGTTGAAGCTGGGCATCCCTTTTTCCTTAAAGTTGGTGTGTGAACAGGAAGTGGAGCACAGTCTGCAATCTGAATCCCGGGCAAAAGAGGAAATGAATGTCACTTTACTTAGAAAATAACTAGAAAGAGACCAGAATAAATAAAACCAGACAACACATCAAGAAGCCTATTGAGACACTGTGCAATCTCCCTGAGGGTCAAGCTTCCACAGAACTGTAGTTTAAATCTGAGATCATGATATTTACAAATTAAGTATTTTCTCAATTATAATCATTTCAATTTGGAAATTTAAAAATAAATAAATTAGAAAATAAAATGCACAGAAGAAAACAAGAATCACAGCATATAACTTACATAAAAGTGGAGATATTTTCATTCATTTGAATTTGTCACATTGATCCTTAAAAGTACCTGAATATTTAGCAAGATTGATGATAATATTTAGAAGATTAATCTTTTAAACAATTTTGTATTATGTATGAGTTTGTGTGCACTCATGACGTGTGTGTATGAGTTAGATGAACACGTGGGAGGTCAGAGGGCAACTCTAAAGTTACTTCTCTCCTCCAACTGATGTGGAACCGTAAGTTTCGCATACCCAGAGACAGTTCAGGTTTGCCCAGCAATTAAAGTACCTGGGGAGTCATCTTGCCAGTCCTAGAGGACTTCCATATTTAGAATATATATTATGCATATGTAATTTCATAGATTTGCATACATGGAGATTAGTGGGATTCTTGTACATAACTTTAAATAAAGGGGTCAAGTTATTTAATATTATTGGAATTATGAGTTTAATTTGTTTAGTTATAAACCATATTTTTACTGTAAGTAGAATGAAGTCCACTTTATGAAGTATTATATAATATGTTTCTTTGAATAAAAAGAACCAGTGGTTTTATTGGAAGTTAATGTAGGGGAGGAGGCTTAATTAGCAAAATAAAAGTTCAAAAAGACAGTAAGTTCCTTTTAGGATGCTAAGAAAGCACACAAGGAAAACAACTTAAGCCCTGTATAAAATCATGGAATGCTAAAATATTAAGAGAAATTTGGGTAGTACTCTGCTTCTATCCATAACCTCAAAAACGATCACATATATATTATAATCCTAATATGGAATTTAACTGAATGTCTCAGTTTTCTGTGAATTGTGAGCTTATATTCAATTTAAATTTTGTTTACTTTTGAACAGCTTGAAAATGTAGTAAGCCCAATCTATACTTTAACATTTGAGAAGATAAATATAAAAGATAAAAGAGGAACAATGGAAAAAAATGTATGTAAAAGATAATAAAACACAATAGCAAACAAAACTGTCATTGGAGTTCTACAGAAAGTCCTTGAGAAGTTATTCAAATTAAAGACTCAAGCAAAGGTGCTGGATAAAAGATCAACAATGCCCATAAAAACTGCATTAAACTGGATCTGACTCACACACAACACAAAATTTGGGGCGCCAGAACAAATCAACAAGCAACACAGAGTAGCAGTCAAAGGCAATGGAACTCTACTGAAGAATGAAAAGAAGTAACTTCCGTGCGTACCACGTTCACAAGTGGAAATGCCCAATATCATGAAGATGTCAACTTTCCGCATGCAAATATATAAGTTTAATTCAATTCCAATAAAGAGTCACACAGAATTTGACACGCTAACAGAAGTGATATTCAAAACTAGAGGGTCAAGAAGGAAAAGAACACAGTGGGCTAAGAGTGGTACCCTACACCAAGTACCAGAACTGTTTAGGGCTGCAGTGATGAAGACAATGTAGAATTGGTTCAAGAGTAAGCACAGGACAGGGAGGCCATGACAGACCCAAGCATGCAAAGAAACAGCACTGCTGGGAACAAAACAAGAGACTCGGTTGTTTATATGGGAAAAATATTGAAATCCCACTTTTCACTCCATGTAGCAATACATTTCAGTTTGTAAAGTCTTAAATATATAAAAGCAATAATTTAAACCTTTAGAAGAAAACATGGAAGAAAAATAGTATTTTCATAAAGAAAAACTACTTTAAAAACCACAAAAAGCGCCGGCAGTGGTGGTGCACGCCTTTAATCCCAGCACTTGGGAGGCAGAGGCAGGCGGATTTCTGAGTTCGAGGCTAGCCTGGTCTACAGAGTGAGTTCCAGGACAGCCAGGGTTACACAGAGAGACCCTGTCTTGAAAAACCAAACAAACAAAAAAAACAAAAACCAAAAAACCAAAAAACCCTACAAAAGCAGAAGCTGTATAGGAAACGACTGATAAAGCTGGCCAAAAGTTTTGAAAAACAAAAAGAACACAAAATTTAAAAGTTATCCTCAGAATGCAAGAAAATGCTTGCAATCACAGCTCAGCAAAGAACTCATATTCAGACTTAAAAAGAACATTAAAAAAAAACTCAAAACAGTAAAATTAACAGAATGAATGGGTAAAAGATACCAACAGACAAATCATTAATAGCCAATGAACACATAAAACAATATTAAATACCATTAGAATGGGGAGAAATCCAAGTTAATACAAAAATGTTACTTCACAGCCATCCAACTGGGAAAACGTCAGTATCTGACTGTAGCAAGGGTTGGCAGGGACGTGGGGAAATGGGGAACTCTCATCTACTGCTGGGGTGTGGGGATGAAAATGGATCCAAGCACTGGAGAAAACAATTTGGGACGATCCAACGAGTTAAGGTTTAAGGTATATACAAAATACACTACTTTGACTCACACTGCCCATGTGCGAAGGCAAGAAGACTAGGATCACCATCTCCTCAGCACTCCCTTCAGCAGTGAAGGGCTGGAAGCAGGGAAGTCCCCACAACAGCAGTGTTATACACTGAGAGCTGTGCATGCCCTTACAGCAGTTCTTGTTATCATTGTTTTGTAAAGCTCTAAATCACAGTTGATTTCCAAAGACAAAACAAAACAAATAATGGAAAGAAATGTGTCCCAGATGCAGTGCAATCCACAGAGATGATGTCAACATGTCACTCTTCCTAGTGGTGACTAATGAGATCGTTGCTTAACACCTTTGGCTTAAAGCTACTCTTCAATGTGCAATTCGTTTAGAATGTCAGGTAATCTTTGGGGCAGAAAACTGACCAATGAGCTGCTTAAAGTAACTGGCTGACATAAATTATTAACCTAGTCTTTTTGACTCTTAGAAGGCATGGTTTAGTTGAATGAGCGCCCATGGCTAACTGAGCAGTTAGAACACACTATCCAGCTGCCGCAGTCCTTCAGTTGTTACAGTAGTAACAATTTTATTTCTAAGCTATGTTTATGATGCAATGATTAGTTATAGCATGACTTATTAAACCGATTAGAAGAATTAAAGATCACAAATCAAGAATGGCACTTTCAATGCCATGTGCCTACAGTTTGTATCTAATAATGCTAATGTTTCCATAAATTTTGAATGGAATGTTTACGTAAGTATATATCTGCACACTTCTCTAACTAAAAACTACCTTTACCTATTTACCTATTTTTGCCTATTTTATGTGAGTGGTAATTTTCTATCTCTCTCTATATTATCAAAAAGAAATGACATCTAATGAGCATACAATGTACTTAATTAGACAAATTTCACTTAAAATTTTCAATGCCCTTTCCTGAACCCAAGTGTCCAGTTGTGGAGCGAGGCTGCTCCAGGGAGGCACCTTAACTGGCTCAGCTTCACTAGATGTGGAAGGAGGTGTGGGCCTTGACTGGATGTAAAACTTGATGTTCGGGTTCCGTATGTAAGTGTTGTCAACAGGATCAGTCTAGGAAAATAAGTCAGGGAAAAAAAGAACCCCAAGAAACCACTTTTTAACAACATGTAACTTTTAAGACATGATCATGACAACAAATCTTGAGGAAGATCAAAAAAAAAACTCAGTTTAAATATTCACATTCAGGATGGCATTATGCAAAAGCACTAGGCTTTACTACATTTTGTTAAATATGGAGAACTGCTATAATCTGGCAGCTGTATGGGAGTTATGAGTGAGTAGTGACAAACTTAAGGAGTGGCCCTCTATGAGCAACGGGCACAGGCAGGCATTCAAACAATTCCTAAGCAGTTAACCGAAGCTCCAGCCCCAAGCTTGCAGTTCATATTTTACTGTGAGCACTGGCTTACCCCATACATCTGTACGCCATGTAAAATACTTAAATGTCACACACAAGAATCATATATGTGAGATAAGAGATGTATGCTATAGATTAGACATGATTTTGTCCTAGACAGTGAAATTTAGTTCTTTTCAAGGTGTTAGTTGAAAGGGCAAGGATGAGCTTTGTGTTCGTCACTCATGTCAATCTTCTTATTTTACAACAGAAGAAATACTATAGTCAGATGCACCCTTTAAAGGTAAGCACTCTTAGAAACTGAAAATGCTTTGGGTTAAAAGCACAAAACATACTCATAGACAATTGTTCCATCTGATAATTTTCAAAGTTCCTAGGATTGAGTTTAAAGAAGATAATTTGGGAAGATTAGGTAATTTGTTTTGAATGTAGTATATGAAAAATAGCAATGTCCTAACAAAAGGACTAAACTTTCTCTTGTTATTACTATGGTTACTCCTGGAGAGGGAACATGGATAGACAATGTACCCCCTTCTAAATTACAACAGATGAAAGATCTAGGTACAGACATGAGAATATGAATTAACAAAGTAGATCAGAACACATACTAAAATGACCCTTGCATATGGAACTGAGTGAACAAAGAAAACCTCTTAAAACTTTAGGTTGAATGACAAGTGATCAGGATTAGAGAGATCAGAAATAGTTTCCCAGACATTAACTTTCCAGTTCCCTTTTTCATGCTGATCAGGGTTCTGGGTACTTGGATTCCATGTCTAAGTATACAAAAGTTTTCTCAATTTGGGACTATTAGCTCATGTGCAGTTAGATTAGAATACTGTGGTGGATAGTTTTAAAATTCGACTTGCTACAACTTAAGAGTCACTAAAAATGAGAGTCTCAGTGAAGAATTATCTAGATCAGTGGCCTATAGGCTTATCCGTGAAAGATTCTTCTGACTGTTCTGATATAGGAAGGCTCAGCAGACTTTGGGCGGCACCATTCCCT